TTGACCTGGCACTCACCATGGGGTGAGGTCCTCCTGCTATGAGCAATGTCAGAAGTCCACATAATAATAACTGGCCTTGTGACAAGTCAAACATTCCAAATTCCTATTAAATTCAACCAACACTTTGCATATTTCCCTTTATTATAGTGACATGTACAATTTACCTTTAAACCCAAGCAAACCCTACTTGCCTTCACTGAACCTCAGGAGAGCCTTTGGGAAGAACAAAACCTTCACAGCACTGCCATTCAGAGGCTTATCACAACACACCAGGGACACAAGTAAATCTCAAGCAGTAGAAAAGAGCACAACTGTAGTGAGCTGCCTCAATGTAGCAATAAAGAAGGTCGAGGCGAGCATTCTTTTTACACCAGTCAACCCTGCAGATAGACCAGACAAATTAAGAAGTTTTTGCCAAGCCAAAGGATAGGTTCTATCAGCAGCAAATAACAGGAGGGTGGAAAGTTTGTGTGCAGACTCGTATCACTTACCTCTCTTTTTCTTGGGAAGAACTTAGCACTGAATTTACATTTAAGTAAAACCATGGCACAAGATTGATTGGATGCCTACTGGAAACAACTGGAATATTTTCTTTTTACTTTGAGTCTTGGATTTAACTAAATGAGAACAGAGCAAGGCTTGGTCTGTGGAGGCATACAGAAAAAAATTGTGCTTCTCTATTAAATTGGACATCCAAAGCACTTTCCTGAATGCTGAAACAAGATGTGAAATTCCATGACAAGATCAGGTTTTCTTTCCCACTCAGCTCTCATTTAACACAAAGAGGCTTATTTTGCATATCATGGGGCCCTAGATCCTGAGCATTAAATATAATAGTTTCCCTACAAGCTTTATAGCCTTGGCAAGATAGTATAGATTGGCCTTGTTGGTTGATTTGTTAATTCAAACAAGAATAGCACATTTCTAAAACTTTGGCCAAATTAACATCTTTTTGACTGTTCCAATGAGCTAATATCACAGTAGAAACCTGGAAGCAGTAGTCAAGTCTTTGATGATTTATTTAGCAGGAGTCATCTTGTAGCTAATTGTCTACAATTTTTAACCTCATTCATGTGCACTGCTGATTCTTCTTCCAGCATCTGCAGTTTTCTCCTCAAGCTTTCTTACATCTCTGTGTGCATCATTTCCAGATGGCAACTCAACTCAACTTCATCACAGTATTTTTATGAACTTGCCAAACCACATTCAAGATCTTCAGACTCAAAAGTAAAAGATAAAATCATCCTCAGAGGGCACCTCACCCTTCTGCACCCAGGTACATGAAAAAAGCAGAGCTTTAGGCTCTGACATTTTACATTAATGATGAGTCACAGCGTAGGGTTCTTTAGTTTGGTTTCTTTTTGGTGTTGGAATTTTCACCTTTCCATCCTTCTCCTGGATTTCTCACCTTGAAACCATATCAAAAGAGAGTAAATACTGTGTGCCATGTTTTCTGTTTATACTGCATAAGTTACCATCTCTGTAGTGCTGGCCCCAGTGACATGCATACCTGTCAGTCACTGCAGATGTACCACAGGAAGAATGAGGGATGACCAGGCAGGGAGCTTTTGGCTGGGAGTGCAGCAGACTTTCACACCACATTCACAGTAAATCTTAGCAGAGATCAGAATTAACTCAAAAGCTCAAGACATTGGGTGGCTGTAACCTAGATCTTCTGGCTAAGTTCAAAGAAGAATTTGATTCACTGTGTGGATCTGTTTTCACCATGGTTTAAGGATTGTCCTAATGTCTAGTAAGTCATAAAAATATAACAGTTCTAGTCACATTTCTGGTTAATGTCATGTGATTTTTTATGAGATAGAAAGTCCTTCCTGGTGATTCTCTGCTTTCAGTAATTCCAGTGCATGATTCAGCAATTCTCATGTGTCTGTTTTGGGGTGGTTTTATGCCATGAGTGAATGAAGGGCTCTTTATGCCTGGTTTCTGTCTCCTGTTTGTATGTTTATGAAGAAGACTGAGTCCCTTGGGAGATGGAAGTTACTCTATTTGGGCAATATTATTACCATCACGTCCTATGATCCATGCCTGTGGGAAGATATTTTTAAAAATAATAAGTTCCATTTTGCTAATGTAGCTATTGTTTAAATGTAAAATATAATTAGAGTATCCACCCAGGGTGTATGTTGCTGTGTAATTTTATAATACTACATCTAGATGACTGTTGGCATTCTACCTATGTACTTAACCACACCCAGGAATGCTGGTATTGCACAATTACACATATCCTGTTGACTAATTACATAATAATTAGTATTTTTAGCATTTAAGGATGCACTCATGTCAGTTGTGCAAGATTTTATGTCACTACAAATTAAAGACAAAGAATAACAAATGTATCTAGTAAACAATCCTGTCCAGATAGCTTACTGAGCCCGGACAGAGTTTCCAGCAAATAGCAGGCAATACTTCATACTTCATTTTAAAATGTATGACATTTTCTACATGTTTGGCAGAACCACAACCCCCCCGCCTTATTTGGGTTATACCTTTTTAATAAAACTATTGAAGTAATTTTGTATTCAAAAGAGTTAAAATTTCTGTAGTCTGCCTCCTTCTGAGTTATGATCACTTATACTGATCAGAGATAATTTTTGGCTGGAAAGGCACTGTGATGTGCCTAGGGAAGGAAGATTGTTTTTTACAATGGCAACTCTGGAAGGAGTCTGGAAAATGGACTTTTACTTAGCAATCAGTTACAAAATATCCCAAATACTGTTGTTTTAAGAAAGCACTACTGATTAGCCCTTGCCACTTGGATCTGGAACAGATTTTCCATAAGCCTGAGTGGAGTGCCTTGATCTGGTGTCTTGGTTCTCATGATGTTGATGAGAGACTGGATGAGAAGTTTGGCTCACCATTTGGATTTGGGGGATTTAAGATCAGAGACTTTTTGTCGCAATCTTGTCTTACATGTGCTTAAAAAAATGTTTGTGTAATGTAACTTCTAGACCTGTTGTTAATCTTAATTCAGTCAAAATTTACAGAAGGTGGCACAGAGGCCAAGCCCTGGGTCTTGCCTAGGGCACAGGTTGATTAGCTGCAATGCACCAATTGGATTGAATATGATGTTTCAGAGTGTTTCTGGCCTGCCATTGCTAGTTTCCCTGGAACCCTCAGTTGTGCACACAGACATTTATGGTGAAAAAGATGGAAAATATGGACTATGTTCCCACCTCCAACTCCATTTATGAGGCAAAAGAGCAAAAGATATTTTGCACGAAGCCTAATTTTTTTTCTCTTCGTGAATTTGATTTCTAACTTGTCAGTTAGTGAGGCAGCAAATGATTTTCAAGACCTTGAAAACAAACCACTCCCCTGGAGTTTCTGTTTGGACTGTTTCTCTTTTCATAGGGCAAAAGGTTATAGTGCAAGAGCAGCTTCTTTCAGCTATGCTGAAGAGTAACTTTTTGCTGCCCTAACAAGTTAAAAATTGGTATTGTAGTCTGAACATTTGCCCTTGCCAGGCAGTTACTTTCTAGTGAACTTCTATAAAAGCAAATTGGGGCTGTTTGGAAGGAGAGTGATGTGAGACTGCTGGAATAAATGACACTGTTCAGTTTAGGGACATGTGCAAGTTGCTTCATAACTTCCCCTTAAGCCTTAGCAACCCCTCTACCCTAAATACCAGCAATAAAGTCAGGACACTACTGCACTTCTTTGCTGCTGGCAGACACTTAAAAAGAGGCCAGATTTCTGAATTTGTAATTGGGACTCCTGTTACTTCTAAAGGCTCTTTTTTGTTCACTGCCTTCTTGTCTGGAGTGCTTCACCCATGACTGGCAGACAAGAAACATCAGAGGTACAGGGTAACCATCCTCACCTGTTTACCTTGGTCACCACTGGCAAGCAAACAGCAACCTGATTTCCCACTGAGAATGAGCCTTGCCTCTGAGAGCAGTTGCTTGAAAAACTGTTCTTCAAACATAAGGCCACAGTTGACATGATTGGTCAAATCCCTCTTTTCCCTTCTTTCCTAAAGAAAAACAAAGCCACAATGAAACTACACACCTTGCTAGGTCCCTCCAACAGAAATGCTGTGGCTCATCTGCATATATGATGAGCAGTATTTCATTATTGAATATAATCCATAACAAAAAATAGCTCATGGCCAGCAACATAAGAATGACTTGCTTCCTGATGTGATTTTAACTGGCTGAGATATTAAACACTGAAAAACGGGGTTTATAATGGAAGTACTGACAGACTATTAACTATAGCAGTGCTGCTCTAATAAATGAAATAGCCTGTCGTAATCTCTAATTCATAAATATGCAAATGCAAGGCAGAGGATTTGCTCCAAAGGATGTCTCTATAATTTTAACTGACCTTTACTGATACTAAATGAGCCTGTTGCTTCTGGTTTTGTGCATTGAATAGAAAGTACAGGGAATCCTGTCTCTTTATGTCCAAGGCCCACTTCAGCTCCCAGAAGTGCCAAAGGCAAAACCCTTGCTACCTTCAACAGGAAAAATCTGGCCCCAGAACATCTAGAATGTGAGACACCTGGCATTAAACTAAACTCCTGACTGTACTTGATTTTAATTCTGTTCTCATCTGTGTTAATTATTATTACATTAATTCTTCTGTTTGGGAGAAATTAACCACGCATTTGCCCCATGTGTCAAAGAGCTTGACCTGCCAAAAAGCACTTACTTGCTCAGTGATAAACAGACCATCAACACAATGATATAAATGTTGAATTTTAGCCAGTTTCCTGTTCTGCACCAAATGGAAGTAAATCCACTGACTTAATATTTAATAACCTAAATGTAATTTCTTTTTTCTGCCTCGCATTGCACAGTAAAGAATTGGATGGCTAGCAGTTTTGCAAATTCCCAACCCCTAATTATTTTAAGCTATTCATCCTGGTATCTGTCCATTGATGCTCAGCCAAATTGCCAGCAGGGGAGAGATCTGTCCAATCCAGGAGCTAAATGAGTCACTGAGAGTCAATCTGTTTTTTTCCCTTGCTGCTGGGATTTCCTTGGGTCCTGGCCTCTCTCTGCTCCAATCACACAGACACAGCTCCAGGCGTGGGTCCTCTTTGGCTTCAGCTGCCTCCTGTCTCCCGTGTCTGCTCTGCTCATCACAGCTGTCGATGGGCTCTCACCGCCTGGCCACAGAAGACCAATACTTCCACCACACTGCTCTTACAGCTCTTGCTCTGAAGGAAAATGAAGACATCTTGGCCTTGTTGAATTTGCTGATGAAGTAATACATCAGGTATCTAGACGGAAAGCAAACCACATGAATAAAATGTGTCATCTGGGTTAGATTCTAATTTATTTGCCTTAAGTTCTGGGAACAATATCTGCAGTTTTTTTCCAGAGAATTCAGTTAAGTTCCATAGAAACTGAATACTAATATGATTTCTGTAGCATGGAAGACAAATAGGAAACAGAGAAAAAATAGACTCATCAGAAATATTAGCTGCTCACTATCAAAATATCTGACAATGCCACAAGTACAATTTATAAACAGGAACATTTAGAGCCTAACTTTTTACTAAAAAGCAAATTCCCTGCTTTGTCCCTTTTAGGGACAGGATTCAATTACACAAAAATATGCAGCAGACTTAAGGACTGCATGTAAGATTAAGATAACTGGTATTTCATGGTAAATGATTAAATGAGCTGACACAGTTTTATCCTGAACTTTGCCATTAAAACTGACATTTTTGTGCCACGCACATTGTAGGCTGCTGGTAATCTAAACTGCCTTTCTTCTTTCAAAGACTTCAAATAGCTGAAGAACTCTTGTTCTTTACTCTATTTGCAAATGTCTGGAAAATATATCTACAATATAAGAAGATGAACTAAGCCCAGGACTTTTTTTTTCTTCATCTAACAAATACCTTGAGAAAACAGCAAGGAGGTTCCAAATGTCCAGATTAGGTTCTGCAACATGCACTTTAATCAAGTAATTTATGTGACTCTGCAGAGATGAGAACATGCTGTCCTCCTCATGGTGAGTGAAAATAGAGGAATGACAGAAGTCTCTTACTAAGAATTTAATTATTCCTGGTACACAATTTTAAACCACTCTATGTTTATTCCTCTTCTTTTCAGGCTTGCTTTTTCATGATGCCAGGAATTATGGGAATAATTTTGATATAAACCAGATGTAGAAGTGTATGGATGAAACATTGTCAGAGCTGGTAGTAGTCATTGCCCTTCAGCTGAGTTGGCTGGGAAGGAGCAACTCAACTCCTTGGTGAAGGTTACTCAGTCTTCAAGCAAAATGCAGGCACGTGTCACTGCACACAGCAAAGACAAGGCCAGTCTGATCAGAGACATGAACTATGAGAGAAGCACAGTTCCTCAATATTACACTGAGAGACCACCAGGATGGGGGGGAAGAAAAGCCACAGAGGCACTGCAGAAATGAAGAGAGGTGGCAGGACATACAGCCAGTGCATCCCTATGAGAGGCCAAGGGTGAGCATAAGCAGTGGGCTCTGGCTAAAAGAGGTCTCATGGGCAATTGGAGGAACTTATTTTGTTTTTATAGCTGTTTGACTTGTCCAGGGGTCAGAAAAACATATCTTTGTCCTCTCTTTGTAGATACATAGTTATATAAAAGCAGTTTGTGACTCTCACAACACTTTCTCCTCATAGCTAGTAAAACCTAGAATACCTCAAATTTTTAACCAGCCATGAAGTTCAAAAGAAGTAGGCCTAACAATACAAAAGATCAGGGACTAAAGTACTAGTCCAGAACAGCAGTTCAGCATGTCCAGTCTTTCAGAAACAGGATCCTTACACACTTGTGAATAAGATGCAAGAGGAATGACAATTATTATTACAGACTATCTAAATGGGACACTTAACTCCCCACCCACAGGCTCCAGAAGTTGAAGTTTTATGATGAAGTCATGCATGCATCATATTATACTTCTTTCTGTGCACTGGCACAAAGATTCAAGAAGTCTCCAAATACTGACAGTAGAATTTGGAGAGGTAAAGACCTGTCTCTTTACATGAACTCTGTCTCTGCTGGAAAAGGTAGTGGAAGCTCAACAGACAGCAAAAAAAATTGTGATGTTTATTCCAGAAGAGAATTTGGCCCTTTATTCTTGGTGTAAACTAAGAATAGAGGTGTGTGCATAACAGGAATGCCATGTAATTTTTCTGTGGCAAAATTTTTTGATAGCTTCTAATCTATGAACAGTTGAGTGAGACTTTGGACTCTTTATAACTTGGATCAGTTCAAATAAAGAAGAAGAAACACAGCTTTTTACACAGCACCTTCCCCAGCAGTTAAAAACTGCAGTTTATACAGCACCCATACAATCACACCATTATCATCAAAGCATGACTTTCATCCCTGAAAATCATGATGGTCATGAAGTCAAAGAAAGGCCCACAAAGACAGTTTCATTGTTTGAGAACTCATGCAAATGTTGAACATGAAAGAAACTCAATCTGATTATCAAAAAATCAAACCTGTATGATGATCTCACAAACTATGTTATTCAATTAAAACTTCTCATCTCTCCTACATATTTTTTTGTCTTTTAAATGATACAGCTACCTTTACTTTCTCTTTTTGTGCTTTAAACTTTGAAAACCTTTCACAGCAGAGCTTACATGAATCATCTAGCTTTCTTATTCCAAAATGTTTCACTGATCATTCATTATTAACTGAGTAAAATGAAGGTAGCTATGATAAATTTTGGTCTATCTCAAAGTATTAGAAAGGATATGAAAACATCTTGTTCATAGTGTTAACTTTTAGATGACATATGACAGTACAGGCCCAGTTTTTTCACTGTCACATACAATGAGGCTCTTAACAACCCAATCACTTGTTATGACATTTTTTCCCAACTCCTAGGCACTAACAGTTGCAGCCTTCTCTGCCACTTAGCAGAAACTCATTCAAACAATATAACCATGACAAAGAATATAACTGGATGTGGGTAACAGGAAGCCTATCAATATCAGAGATCATAAAAATTGTCCAGTTATTTTTGTAACAATGTATGTTCTCTAAACAGTTCTACACACATCTATGTCTTGATGTGAATGCTCTGGAGAGGAAATAAGTTTTTGGCTGCTCATTTTAGTGAGTCAAGATCCTGGATATAACTTGCTGCTTGTTATTTGGCTATCTAGACAGATGGGCTAGACTGAAGTCAGTGGGGCTGCTTGTGATGCACTCCACAACTGAACATATTTGGAAAAAGCCGTTACACTAATTTACTCATTTATATCTTAAAATGCTTTCAGTTTCTCTTCAGCCATAACTCATCCTGGGTTCTCCATGACCAGAGAGGGTCAGGCCTATATGTAAGAGAAGCAGACAGAGACAGAGGTTGTGCAAAGCTGGCCATGGACTTAATAAGAGCTTGATTCTGTACCAATGAAATCAACAGGAGTTTGGCTCTTGTTTGCAATGGGAGGTGGATCAACGTTTTATGCCAGCTGTTCCCTGCTGGGTAGGGATAATCCCTTTGAAACAAAATATTTAACTTGTTCTCACTCTGTTGTTGTAAGAAAGCTTCCCATGAAAATGCTTTCATGAGAATTAAAAGGTGTGTCCCATTTTTTTTTCCAAATACCACCCCCCACCCTGTAGTATATAGTTGCTGATCCAAAAAAAAAACCAAAACCCAAACTCCTCCACCTGCTATTAAACCACATGAGTTTACAGAAAAATGCTACAGAAATGAGTTACAGGGTGGAACTGAGTCACCTGTTTGTTCTGCTGGCCATGACAGTACTTGCACTTTCCTCAGCCAGGAGATGCAGCAAGGAACTATTTTAATTCAAACAGCTGCAATTGAAGTGGCATCCCCTGAGCAGAAGTAAAATAACTGAGGTCCCTGCAGGCAAATAGAGGATGATAAAAAATCCAAACTTCCAACAGTCATGAAGGGAGTAATGAATAACAGTGTGGGAAAAGTATCAGAGCGATGGGAGCTAAGGAAGGACAGTATTAACAATAAAATCTTGTACGTGTGTCCTCCAGTCCGGATCTGAGTACAGCATTTAGTCTCAGTTGCTGTTTCTGTGTTTTGTTTTCATGTTTCACAGTGACAATGAGGTTCTAAAACATGGCTGATGCCCAGGTTGCTCTAGAACCAGTGGTTCCTTCTAGTCCCTGCATGTGTTGGTCAAGTTGAAAAGGAATGTGAAAGTTGGGCTCATCTACACCAGCTCTCAATTTGGTTCACTCCCTCTCACTTCTCTGGCTGAGGTCCAGTTGGCTGACAAACCTGGGACATAAAATTTGCTAGGTATTATAAAGCAATTATTTAATTTTAAAAGTCTCTTTCATTGCATTCTAATAGGATTTCCATAAAATACAGAGTTCTCCACAATATCCAGGGAACTTTTGTTTACACCATATACTATGACACTTTTTGAAGATCTCTGGATGACTTAAAGAGAGGAAACTTCCGGAGTAAAGCTGTTTGGCCTGGCAACCAGGGACTGAGCCTACTGTAGAGTTACATCCTCCAGAAGCAGGAAACGTATGGAATCATTTGAGCTTAAGAGACTGTGACATTTTTATAGAATGAAAGGAGTAACTGAGAGATACAGTGACAGAGCCGGGAGCTGCAGCTGGCTGGCTGTTTCATGGAGCATTCCCCTCATAGATTTTTATGACTCTCCTAGCCCTAATATTAAACACTTGACCTTTTTGTCAAATACTATTTTATATTATTAGGTTGGATGATTAGTTACTAAATATACCATCTATAGTAAATAGGAAATTGTGTAGCCTGATGCTTTTAGTTGTAGACCTTTCAGGTATCGGTCCTTTGGCATTTAACATTAGAACATTGAGTGCTCTTATATTAAGTCCCTTGGTAAGCAAGAAGTGCACAGCACTTTCACATAGGGCAGAGGGATTTCTGAGGCAGCATTACCAGAGTGGAGAATGCTGTAAACATTGTAAAGTCAGGGATAACTAGGAGCCAGCTGATGCTGAACAATACACCTTAATCTACAGCCTAGGAATAAGTGCATTTACTTTTTAAAATTCTGTAAACCAGAGCTTTGCAAATGACTCTGCCCTGTGCCTCTCTCCCTGGTGAACTATTCTATTCACCCTCTCCCTTGTCACATGCAAAATGGTACTAATGTTAGAAGCAGAATTAATAATTTGCTTTTTTTACTTCTCCCTCCCAGCACTTCATACCCTGTTTTGAGAAACCCTGTTGCAAACCACTCCCTCCCATAAATTCCACCTCAAATATTTGTATTTAAAGGTCTGTGGT